AAATCTATAGGGGAAGGAAGGCGGGGTAGGGGTCGTCCTCGAAAGGGTTGGAGAGAGGGGGTAAAGGAGGTTTTGTGGGTGAGGGGCTTGGACTTCCAGCAAGCGTGCGTGAGCGTGTTAGATAGGAATGAATGGAGACGAATGGTACTTAATGGTACTTGGGACCTGACGATCTGTTGGAGTGTGAGCAGGGTAATATTTAGTGAAGGGATTCAGGGAAACCGGTTATTTTCATATAGTCGGACTTGAGTCCTGGAAATGGGAAGTACAATGCCTGCACTTTAAAGGAGGGGTTTGGGATATTGGCAGTTTGGAGGGATATGTTGTGTATCTTTATATGTGTATGCTTCTAGACTGTTGTATTCTGAGCACCTCTGCAAAAACAGTGATAATGTGCGAGTGTGGTGAGAGTGTTGAATGATGATGAAAGTATTTTCTTTTTGGGGATTTTCTTTCTTTTTTAGGTCACCCTGCCTCGGTGGAAGACGGCCGACTTGTTGGAAAAAAAAAAAAAAATATATATATATATATATATATATATATATATATATATATATATATATATATATATATATATATATATATATATATAAATTATATAAACACATTTTTCGAGGCATCGACAGAGCGATGGCCAGTCCGGCGTCGGTCTTAAGAATTGTCTACAATTATTATTTTTATACGAATTGGAAAGCCTAGACTTTTCGCAAAGATTTCTCCGTTATTTGGGGGGAAAGTGTTCGATTTTTTTCTGTATTAAATTTCAGTTTTTCTCCCAAACTTCAAATATCTTTGCTCTCCCGCCTCAGAAGACGACTCGCCGACCAACTCGTTACAGTTAGTGTACAGAGTGATTCTTGGAACCACTGTTGTTAGTGTACTGTGACGCTGAGAGAGAGTTGGGAGGGAACTGACGTCAACCTAACAGTAAACCTTGAAAAACAAACTAAATGGAAGAAAAACTAGGACGCTGACTGGTAAATAAAGATCAAGACAGTTCAGGTGGGATATAACGATGTGTTGAAGCACGACCTCAGAGTTTATAATATACAATGAGACAGTAAGAGTATCATCACGAACCAGGCATTACGGACACGTGCATCATCTGGTATCTTTATTTATGTACGTTTCGCCATCCAGTAGCTTTATTAATACAAGGACATATTGTGTAGACAGTAGAACTATATATATAAAAACCTCATATTTTATATATAGTTCTACAGTCTTCACATTGTCTTCGTATTGTATTGATAAAGCCACTGGATGGCGAAACGTCTACAAATAGAAATACGCAGATGATGCACATGTATATATTTCTTCATTGTTAGGTAAGACACATATGCAACAGTTAGGTATCTTTATTTCGAAACGTTTCGCCTACACAGTAGGCTTCAAGTCTCTTCTGCTTCTATCAACTTTTCTGTACTCGACTGAAGAAGCCTACTGTGTAGGCGAAACGTTTCGAAATAAAGATACCTAACTGTTGCATATGTGTCTTACCTAACAATCTGTCGGTATTTTATACCATTTTAATGTTCAATCTATTTCTTTATGTTGTCGGTACATCATACTCTTCATGTATGAACCTGGTAGTAATAAATGGTATTCATATTGTGTATCCGGTAGGCCAGTGGATACTTAACCAGTGAGGCTCCTGAAGTGACCAACACTCGTGTCAAAATACACTTGTTCTCTTTCGTGAAGGTTAAAACATCATCGTACAGAAACAGAGTGATAACGAGGAGGACCAAGATCTTTGCAGTTGTACAGACTGCTGATTCAATGAGAGTCTTAATATGTAATCTATTCCCTCATATCACTACAATACATCCTATCAACACACCTCTGCCTCATCAGCACACAAAAAACACCAGCATCACAACACGCAAGAACTCTTTACGCCCTAATATGCAACACACAAAGCTAACATTGTAATGTGAAGCAGCAAACTGTATCACAGCTAAAGAAACACACTGCATCACAGCTAAAGAAACACACTGCGTCACAGCTGAGGCAACACACTGCATCACAGCCGAAGCAACACAACGCCTCCCAGCAAGAACACGAAAGCCAACACTTAACTAAGCACATTAACACAACTCTATGTTAGATACACTCTCACCGCTGATTGCTCCTCGTAACACAGCTTCGTTGAAGATATACTGTTTATTAAACACCCGGAGTGTGGGTGCTGTAATCTGCTGTGGGTGAGGTGCAAGTGTTGTCTGACACGCAGACAACCACACCCTCACTATCCTACACAGCCAACATTCGCTCCACATGCACCCACTCTTACCCCACACCCGCGTACCATCTCTCCACATACACACTTATTCACCCACACTCACTGCAAACCACCGGCTTTACTCACGTGGCTAAAATCAGATTTGAAATAGATAATCATGCATCCTCAGTAGGCAACGCTCTTGCCTCACACACTGAGTGTCCGGGATTCAATTCCCGGCTGGGTGGATACATAAGGAGTGTTTCCTTACACCTGCTGTCCCCGTTCACCTAGCAGTAAGAAGGTACCTGGGTGTTAGTCGACTGGTGTAGGCCGCATCCTGGGGGACAACACTGAAGGATCCCAGTGGAAATAAGAAGATAGTCCTCGATAATATGCACTGACTTTCTTGGGTTATCCTGGGACGCTAATTCTCCGGGTTATAAATCCGAACAAAATCTTATCTTAAATCTGTGTCAGGAGGATTTTACGCCACCTGTCAACACTCTGTCACACTGTATTCTCTGACTGCGCATTGAACTTGAACAGTTTAGAGAAATATCTCCAATCATTCCAAAAATTTCCATGTATGTATAAAGCTCTTCAGCTCCGCTTCCGAAGTTATATACTCTGAGAGGTGTGTATCTCTCAGTGTATATACTCTGAGAGGTGTGTATCTCTCAGTGCATATACTCTGAGAGGTGTGTATCTCTCAGTGCATATACACTGAAAGGTGCGTATCTCTGTGTATATACTCTGAGAAGTGTGTATCTCTCAGTGTATATAATCTGAGAGGTGTGTATCTCTCAGTGCATATACTCTGAAAGGTGAGTATCTCTGTGTATATACTCTGAGAAGTGTGTGTCTCTCAGTGTATATACACTGAGAATTTACTTTAATCCCTGTTCTAGGTGTTAAACTATCCCTGAGTGAGGGTGGTGTATGGGCCTTAGTGACCCTCCTGTCACTGATAGCTTCACAACTCGACCTACCATAGACCTCTCCTCTCGTAAATACGCTCGGGTGAGGACAAATATGCAACACTGGTACACACAATAAGCGAAGGCTCCCCGCCGAACCTTCCAAGATCCCTTCCTTCATGAAAGAAATAAGACATAGCCAAGACACTAATTTACAACTCTGCATGTGAGTCTTCGGAGCGAGAAGATTCAGAGACAGGAGACGCAAGCAAGTCTGTATCTTCATCCCTGGCTGAAAGAACCAACACACTTGGCTGAGAGAACACATGCTAATGATGCTCTCACGTGCCATCTACGAAATATTTTATACAGCTTCCATCAGAACAAAATGATTACACGAATTTGAACAAAGCAACGTCATAGGAGGGATGAGGCCAGCATATGGAAATACTGTACTTGGCACCAAATTTATGTTCCACACAATATATTTTATTATTATTATTATTATTATTATCAAGTGTCTTACGCAGGAGAGGTTATGAGAAATTAACCTGACGACAGTGGAGGATAGGAGGGACAGGGATGACATGATAACGACATATAAAATACTGAGAGGAATTGACAAGGTGGACAGACAGGATGTTCCAGAGATGGGACACAGCAAAAAGGGGTCACAGTTGGAAACTGAAGACTCAAATGAGTCACAGGAATGCTAGGAAGTATTTCTTCAGTCATAGATTTGTCAGGAAGTGGAATAGTCTGTAGATTGTAGTGGAGACAAGAGCCATACATAGCTTTAAGAAGAGGTATGGTAAAGCTCGTGGTGCAGGGAGAAAGTGACCTAGTAGCGATCAGTGAAGAGGCGGGGTAGGAGCTATGAATCGACCTCTGTAACCACAATTAGGTGAGTATAATTAGGTGAGTACACACTACAACACAGGAGCTAGAACTCGACCCCTGCAACCATAAATAGGTGAGTACACACTCACAACTACCTTGTTGCCTTGAGCCACCTCATTGGCTCGTTTCATTAACCATAGCTATCAACACCCACGTAACTCAATAATCACCTCGTCTGGCTCATTTTATTAACTATCAGCACCCACGTACAGTAGCTTAGCACTGAACGAGGAATTCGAAGTATTTATATTAATCTGGCGAGTGCCACCAGTTCTGTCATCATACAACTGAATCAATAGAGTTTGGACATAGTCTCAAATACAATTAAGGCAGTTACATATAGTGAGTTTTTTTCTCGGAAGTGCAATTGAAAAATGTATCCGAAATTGAACATCGTAAGTTATGATGGACTTTTCACTTGCTGCGTATTCTTGGACGCACTTTTTTTCTATTTCATTTTCAAAAAAGAAAAATCTCACTGTTGTTGAGTGGTTGTAGTGAATTTTTGAATGGTTGTAGTCAATTTTTGAATGGTTGTAGTCAATTTTTGAATGGTTGTAGTCAATTTTTGAATGGTTGCAGTGAGTTTTTGAATGGTTGTAGTGAGTTTTTGAATGGTTGTAGTGAGTTTTTGAATGGTTGTAGTCAATTTTTGAATGGTTGTAGTGAGTTTTTGAATGGTTGTAGTGAGTTTTTGAATGGTTGTAGTGAATTTTTGAATGGTTGTAGTCAATTTTTGAATGGTTGTAGTGAGTTTTTGAATGGTTGTAGTGAATTTTTGAATGGTTCTAGTGAGTTTTTGAATGGCTAAAGTAAGTTTTTAATTGGCTAAATTGAGTTTTTGATTTCCTGTGGTGAATTGTTTAGACTAATTATTATAGGACTCTTTTGACTAGCTATAATGGAAAGTTAAGGAATTCAAATGGGCAATATAGTTTTTTTTTTTTTTTTTGCAGATTTGAGTTCATCATGGGTGAGGTTGCCTCCGGAACCTCGCTCAAACCCCTTGCCTTCCATGTACCACCCCAGTGGTAACGACCCCAGTGACGACCTCCTGTCCCTCCTCTACGACGTGTATCCAGCACACACTGCCACTGACATGGTAAACAATGTTAATACCACGGGGAAAGTCTACCCTGGGAGCAGTGGCTCTTCACTAGCGTTCACGCCCCTACCCTGGGAGGGGCAGCTATGATAAAGCTCTCTCATTCTTCACTCGTCGGGGTTAAAGTTACTTAGTTAGGTTAATCGAGACAAACTAATACTGAATGGTAAGAGATACTCTTTGCAGAGCACGTTTTTGTCAAGTCGTGAGTTGATGAAGCTCTACACTCAGCGAAACATAACTTGATAAAGCTCTACTCCGAGCAAAACGTCGCCATAATAATGCAAAATTTGCTCTGCACACTATCTCACTGCCATACTTGTCGAAACCAATTACATGGAATGGTTTTATTACAACATTCAACATTCTTACTACAACATTCAACATTTCTGCTGCGACATTCACCATTCTTATTACAGCCTGCAATGCAAAGGCCACAACACCTCACTGACAAACTACAGCCATGACTTCAAACAGTCCAGGCACTTCTTAACTTCTAGTGAAAATACTATCGTATCGAGGAGAGAGAGAGAGAGAAGAGAGAGAGAGAGAGAGAGAGAGAGAGAGAGAGAGAGAGAGAGTCATAATAGCATCATTATTTCAATGTTTCTAACTTCAGGTTCCCCGGGAGAGAGAGGAGCCTGTGTTCGGCAGTCAAGGAGAGCCTAAGAAAGAGTACTTCCCCCAGCCGGACAAGAGAAGCACAGTCGAGGTAAAGAGACTGGTGGCAGACTGTTGGCAAACCGGTGGCCAGCTGGTGGCAGCCTGGTGGTAGGCTGGTTACAGCCTGGCTATTGACAGCCTGTTAGTAGCTTGGCTGGGGTAAAGTAGGATAGTTAAGAATGGAGGGTTACATAAGGTAATCAGTTGAGGTGGCTAAGGGCGGTTGTCGAGAGTAATTAGGAAAAAAAAAGAACTTAAAAAAGGAAGAATGGAGTACTTCCGTCTCTCTTCTTGGCTGAATATGATGCTTAGAGAGAGTTAGTTAACACGCGACAAACTTGAGAGCTAATTTAGGCTAATTTTGACAACAGACATTTAAAAAAGTGCAATTAATTAGGTAAATTTCAAGAAAATGACAATTTAAGTGTTGGTAATCTGAATGTAATGAGTTAGGGCGAAACATTAGAGAACAAAAAGAAAGAGTTGTTATTGGATAAATATTCTTAAAGGTGTGAGAAAAGGAAGAGAGAATCTACAAGAAACTGGAGAGGAATACCAGTTACAAGGAATGTTAATTAGAGAAAGAGTTAAAACTATGGGCGATTGGCTTAGTGTTGAGGGTGTGAGGTGCTAGGGTAAACAGTACGAGAAGAGTGGCACTGCGAGAGGCACTGGCTCTTCATGGGCCACCCGTCTATACACAGAAATTGGGGAACGGATGGGACTTGAACCAATGGCAAGTGAATCCTAAAACTCAGGCCAGTGCGTTAACCACTCGGCCAGCAAGTGTTATAACAAGTGTTATACACAGAGAGTTGTATGTAACTCTGGAAGGTTGCTCTACGCACACACAGTGCTCTGGAAGGTTGCTCTACGCACACACAGTGCTCTGGAAGGTTGCTCTACGCACACACAGTGCTCTGGAAGGTTGCTCTACGCACACACAGTGCTCTGGAAGGTTGCTCTATGCACACACAGTGCTCTGGAAGGTTGCTCTACGCATACACAGTGCTCTGGAAGGTTGCTCAACGCACACACAGTGCTCTGGAAGGTTGCTCTACGCACACACAGTGCTCTGGAAGGTTGCTCTACGCACACACGGTGCTCTGGAAGGTTGCTCTACGCACACACAGTGCTCTGGAAGGTTGCTCTACGCACACACAGTGCTCTGGAAGGTTGCTCTACGCACACACAGTGCTCTGGAAGGTTGCTCTACGCACACACAGTGCTCTGGAAGGTTGCTCTACGCACACACAGTGCTCTGGAAGGCTGCTCTACGCACACACAGTGCTCTTAACATGAAGTGCAACACCGACCATCACATTTCTTGCTTTGATCTGTGATATTTGACTGAGTGAACAAGTCAGAAAACAACCTCAGTCAAATGACCTAAAAATCCCCCCATGGGTTATCTTATAATTAAGACCACATCAGAAGAAATTTCATAATTTCTTCTAGCATACTGAATACCACTACCAATGTTTCTGTGTATATAGGCTAAGAGTTCATTTTAGTACCTATTTTAGGTCTTAAATTAATACTGACTGGTAGTAAAAGACTATTGCTGATGATCTCTAGTAGTTGAAACACGTAAAGTAACAAAGAAGAAGAAGAAGAAGAAGAAGAAGAAGAAGAAGAAGAAGAAGAAGAGGACGTTGCAATCACTAAGCAGCTTCCAATACAAGAGGCAAAGTAATTATATATAACGTACTTTATAAGACGTACGTACTTCTAAACACAATTACCGGTTATTATTTGTAATGGTTATAAAAGCGAGAAGTTTATGTTCGGGAGTAACTGAACCATTTTAACAAGAAGAGATCAGTTAGGTTCATAGCTAATGTTCAACAAGTATGTGTGGGAACTCATGTGAACAACAAGGGCACCCATGTGAACAAGGGCACCCATGTGAACAAGGGCACCCCTGTGGGTTGGCTGGTTAATGGGGTTTAAATCCTATCGACCACACGAGGGCCAAGAATACTTTATCCTTAAAAAAAGGGATTAAAATTATATATATATATATATATATATATATATATATATATATATATATATATATATATATATATATATATATATATATATATATATATATGTCGTGCCGAATAGGCAGAACTTGCGACCTTGGCTTAAATAGCAACGCTCATCTTGCCATATAGGACAAGCTAAAATTTGTGTATGCAATAATTTCGCCAAAATCATTCTGAACCTAACGAAAAAAATATATTTCGCTGTGTTTGTTTAGTATTAAATTATTGTAAATAAATCTAAAATATATTTAGTTGGGTTGGGCTAAAATAAATTGCTGTTGTTATAATAAGGTTAGGTAAGTTTTCTAAGATTCTTTTGGAGCAAAATTAAAATTTTTTACATTAACATTAATGAAAAAAAAAATATCTTTAAACGTATAAGAGAAAATTTCAGAAAGGTTTTAATTTTAAATGAGTTCTTGCTAATTGACCAGTTTTACATATTCGGCACGACATTATATATATATATATATATATATATATATATATATATATATATATATATATATATATATATATATATATATATATATATATATATATATATTACGGCGGAGGTCGAGAGAAATATACCTCTCAGTGTAGCTATCCTGTGGCATCCATGTTGGAAAAGATGTGCATGTTGCCCAGTGCATGTATGTTGCCCAGGGCATGTATGTTGCCCAGGGCATGTATGTTGCCCAGGGCATGTATATTGCCCAGGGCATGTATATTGCCCAGGGAATGTATATTTTTACCTCGTCTCTTATTAACCCAAGACAACATTTTAAAATAGGCCTCAATTTATACTGAGTCAATATGAGATCTCATCAGATTTAGAGTGCATGTTGTTTTTCTAATCAAAATAAAGTACTGAACTCTTAACATTGATACAACTCCCGGGGTACGGGAGGAAATCGGGGTTGATTCATGGAAAGGGAGAGGTGCCTCCAATTCTTCGTATCAAGAGCCCTTCACCAGCGTCAAGGCACATCCTTTGAAGGAAGTACAGTCATAAATGTAAGAAAATTTCCTCTTTGCTTGATCAATAACATTTGGTCTCCACCAGGGGACGGAGGACAAACATACGCATAAACAAGAGGAAGATAAGAGGAACAAGAGAAGTGTGGACAACCAGCAAGAGGTGAGTATTATTATTATTATATTCCTGGGAGAGCACTATATCTGTGTGGGTCATACATCAGCTGTAGAATAAGAGAGGGTAGTTGGTTAGGAAGTTTGATCCGAAGAAGTAGAAAGTAGTTTCAACTTCTTGTGTTAGGAAGTTTTCAGCAGCATGCAGGTCCTGCTCTTGAATACAGTAAGAGGTAAGAGGAGTCAGGATCAGTCTTACAATAAACAGTAACGCTACCTAAGAAACACCAGGGAAGAATCTAAAGGATAAAATTCAGCACATTAACGCTGATTTTTGGCCTTGTGTGCAACGTGTACAGCCACATGTAAATAATAGCAAATACTGTTGAATATGGAGTCAGGATTATTAGTTGGCCTGTGATACTCCAATACTGAAACTATGTATAGTGCCAAAACAAAAGCATTCACATTGCTAAACTCACAAACTAGTATTTAGTCACTTAGCCATAATACCAACTTACCTCATAATTTTGTAATATTTTAAACTTAAGATTTAATTTAAGTCTGCCCGAAATGCCTAGCCATGCTAGGTGTTCTAGTGGTACACTCTGTAATTATTATTTTACTACATGTAAACCACACAATAACCAAATTCTGTAAACTCAGCATTGTAATCCTTATAGAGAATAAACTTTGAATCTTATCATGCGACCTCTCAGCTGATGTTCCGTCTGAGGTCGCATGATATAGTGTAATGATACTAGTTGTTTATCTATGCTTAAAAAAACTGTTATTTATTTTCACATAACTCTGAAATTATTAAGAACAGATTACTATTTTCTTGCTTCCACCGCCATCTTTAAAGACTCAGAACCACAGTTATTTAAGTTACTGCGCTCGTCAGGGATAAGTCACAATGTTGCGACTCACATTATGTTGCAGGGAGAGGCGCAGAAGGATGATGCTCCACCACACACACCTCCTGCAGCTGACAACTATAACACTCAGGCCTGGTGGTGGCCCTTTGGTGAGTCAACCAAACTTTTTTTTTCTTCCCCTAACCTTAAAGTGAATCTCCCCGGAACCTTCTATTTGAACCGCCGTCAGCGAACCTTTCAAATTTGGACTCCCGGCTGGAGACTCGCATTTCAATCTACATTTTTAAGCAGATAATTAAGCTGAATGTACGTCAACCGATTCCCTGAATCCTGGTAGATAGAATCTTTCTCGTGAAACCAAGTGAGCCGAATCTCCTCTGAACCTTGGTCAATCTGTCCTTTTTTTTTTTTTTTGATGAACCTCACATCAACCTCGAACTTCTCATGTGAACCCCTGTCAAACGAACCTTTCTCACCTAGTTTACTTCTCACTATCCACTTTCCCCATCGCTCTCATGTTCCACTCTCACCCACTTGGTTCCACCTCCCGGTTCCATACTCAGCCCACCCTTCCCATCACCCACCGGGCCAGCATTCCCCACCGCCCACCCTCCAAGACGTGTGTGGGTCAGCTTCGTTAGCTACACTCAGAGGCTTTGATCTAAACCGCCTCCTTTCCTTTATTCACTAAATAATTGTTTTCATGTCAGAGGTTTGTGCTGGAGAGAAAATTAACACCATGATGGAGAGGCGTGAATTTGAGTTAGTTTTTCAAGGTGAAGGAGATTATTAACCTAGTTAAGCCAGAGTAACCCAGTGTGGCTTATTTTCATTTGGCTCCTTTTTAGTGCCTGTCCCAGGATAAGACCCACAACAGTCGACTAACTCTCAGGTATCCGTTTGCTACTAACAGGAACAGTAAGTGTTAGGAGACTTGTCCTTCTCGCATCAGAGTTCGACTCCATGTCTTCTTGTGTGAGCTGAGTGCTTCACACTCTGCCTAGCGACGGTTAAGACCATATTTGACCTGAACACTAAAGTAAAACGAATGCTTTATTCCCTAAAAATCGAGAATAAAATAAACTGTGTTGTACGTACACTAAGAGATATACATCTCTTGGTGTATATTCCTTGCCTAGGAGACGTGGTATGTTTATACTTACTTTAAATACACTCTTACAGTATGTGTGCGTTTCTTCTTATAAGTCTAGTAAGTTCCGACTTTAACTGTGTTGATAAATAAGACACCTGTACAACACCTGCAACTCTCATCTGGCGCCAGTATATAAATGTTCGTCCTCCTGCCTCTCCGTCAGTATGATCTAGACTAAGGAATTGAACACTTTTCATCAAGGCCGAGGTTACCTGGAGGTAACAGATTATCTCGTCATCCATAGCCTTCGCCTTGTAATCTCTGTATTGAATAGAAAAAATCCACTGATTGGCGAAATATCTTCATAATAAAGACATCCAAGTATTGTGCTCGTGTCTTATTCATCAACTTGTCGCTATTGTATACCATTAATAGAATATTTTTAACTTCTTTGGGTTATCCTAGGTAATTTGCAGTGCGCATATGTTACTATGTATAATAATTTGTGTAACCTGTTTATGAGTATCTGTACCGAAATAATCTTACAGTTACAGTTCGACGGTCACCATTTACACCTCGTCTGGGTAAACGTGGAAATGACCTGGACAGCGATAATTTTACTTACGACAACGACGACCTGGCCTCACTGGAGTACCTGCAGGAAGACCCTGAAGACTACCTGGTAGGAGGGAATAACGAAATGGATGAGGAAATGTGGCCATCCCCGGTGCTGAGTGAGGAGGAGGTAGCAACAGCAGCAGGGAGTCCTGACAAACGGGCCGACTTTGCTTTTTCTCCAAGACTCGGAAAAAAGGCAGATTTTGCGTTCAGCCCAAGACTAGGCAAGAAGGCAGATTTTGCATTTAGTCCACGACTAGGCAAGAAAGCAGATTTTGCATTTAGTCCACGACTAGGCAAGAAAGCAGATTTTGCCTTCAGCCCAAGACTAGGCAAGAAGGCAGATTTTGCATTCAATCCAAGGCTAGGCAAGAGGGCAGATTTTGCATTCCGTCCTAGACTTGGCAAGAAAGCAGATTTTGCGTTCAGTCCAAGACTAGGGAAGAAAGCAGACTTTGCATTCAGTCCACGACTAGGCAAAAAGGCAGACTTTGCATTCAGTCCAAGACTAGGTAAGAAAGCAGACTTCGCTTTCAACCCAAGACTTGGCAAGAAAGCAGACTTTGCTTTTAGTCCCAGACTTGGCAAGAGAGAGCGGGAGGAAGACAGTGGGGAGAGACAGCCCTCCAGGACCCAGGCCTATATCTCTCGCCCCTCTCGACCTTATTTCTCCCCCAGACTAGGGTAGGCCTACCACACTCAAACTATATAAAAAAAACTAAATATTGTTAACCCCCTTTTCTTCTCACTATACCCAGAGTTAGTCATGTTATTATGAAGGAAATAAATCTATTACCAAGTTATGTGAGGCTGGGGTACAGTATTACGAGCGCAGTTTAATGAATGACTAGGCTGGTTTGGTGATGAACAGTGAGGCTGGCTTAGTAATAAATAGTGAGGCTGGCTTGGTAATGAATAATGAGGCTGGCTTGGTAATAAATAGTGAGGCTGGCTTGGTAATACATAGTGAGGCTGGCTTGGTAATGAATATTGAGGCTGGCTTGGTAATAAATAGCAAGGCTGGCTTTCTAACGATGAACCTGCTACTTATTCTAGCATATCAGGGGACAATACCACCTCCGGTCAACATATCTCTTCCGTACTGTATATTTGAAGCATGACTGTAAATTATCTTTCAGGGTACTCAGAGCATCAAACCATTACTGTGAACAATGAATAAATATTATCTTTATACATTGCCAATTCTTTCCACCCCAACACTGATGATGGTAGATAACAGACGCGCGAAATAGCGTCATCCTTCATGTAAGAGTACCTAAAACAGCAACAAAAAAGGTCAGTGTATTAAGCCCATTACAACAGATATGCACAGTTTATTCTTTTCACATTGATGCAGTCAAAGCAACATACTTATATACCAAATATAGTTTAAAAAAAAAAAGTAAAAAAATGTGATTTAATCACTTGACTAATAAGTCAGAAAATCTCTATCACCAACAGTGAAAGTAATCCATATGAAACACTTATCATAATGACTCGGACAACTCCGGGGATAACTTAAATATCAGTTCACTAGAGTTGACAATACTACTTAAAACACACGCGCGCGCACACAAACAACATAAGCAATGATCATTATTAATAATTATGTCTGGCATTTATATAATTACTCCTTAACACTGATGAAGTAAACAGTACTGGAATAACTAGTCTGGAATGAAGAAGAAAAAAGACAATAAGCAATTGAAAAGACCAAATTTTCTCTTTAATTAAAGTTCGTGTCAACAGAGTCAAGGGTGATAAAAGGCCCACTTGTGCAATATTTGGGTATCTATATTCTGGAAACGTTTCGCCAGCCAGAAGTGTTTCGTTTATCAACTTGTCGGTTTTCTAAACCATTTATTAAGAGGAAATGGTATGGTGATACCGACAAGATGTGGAAAAAGACACTTATGTACAGTTCAGGACATTTATTAAAGGAAACGTTTCGCCACGAGTGGCTTCTTCATCCTATACTGAAGAAGCCACTCGTGGCGAAACGTTTCCTTTAATAAATGTCCTGAACTGTACATAAGTGTCTTTTTCCACATTTATTAAGAGTCTAGAGTCTGGAGTGTGAGGGTGGCCCGGTGGCCTGGTGGCCTGGTGGCCCGGTGGCCTGGTGGCTAAAGCTCCCACTTCACACACGGAGGCCCGGTTCGATTCCCGGCGGGTGGAAACATTTCGACACGTTTCCTTACACTATTGTCCTGTTCACCTAGCAGAAAACAGGTACCTGGGTGTTAGTCGACTGGTGTGGGTCGCATCCTGGGGGACAAGATTGAGGACCCCAATGGAAATAAGTTAGACAGTCCTCGATGACGCACTGACTTTCTTGGGTTATCCTGGGTGGCTAACCCTCCGGGGTTAAAAATCCGAACGAACTCTTATCTTATCTTATGACCCGACCTGACCTGACCCTGTAAGGTACCATCACATACCACCTGACCCTGTACGATACCACCACAGAGAGGTGTTTATCTCAACATATATACACAGAGAGGAACTGTTCTTTGACAGTTCCTTGATAATGTGAGAAATCACCAAAGTGCTTGGAAGTTCACTGTTCTTTTCACAGTCGTTGTTCTGGATACTGTGATATCACCTGTTTACTTTGATCTTATTGCATACACAGAGAGGTGCGTATCTCTCAGCGTGTATACAGAGAGAGGGGTGCATTTTTCAGCGTATATACACAAAGAAGTGTGTATCTCAGCGAATATGCACAGATAGGTGTGTATATATCAGCATATATGAATCCCTCTAGACTGAGGGACTGATTACCTCGTCTTCTACTGTTTCCAGTTTCTACACCTAATAACTTCTCTGCACCCAACTGAGAAAGCCACAACTGAGCGCAACGTCTTCAGAATAAAAAAGTCTTAGGTGTTGTATCTCATCATCTGACCTTTACTGCTTATGACGCCCGGGTACCTATTTACTGCTAGGTGAAGTGGAGCCCGACAGGTGAAAGCTCTGAGCTCCTAGTTCATGATCCAGGGTCGTGGGAGACAGGTGATTGCATGGATTAAAAAACTCTAAAACTCTACGTGATTGGATTTTCGGGGGAAAAAAAGAAGGTTCGTGATTTTCCTGAGCTGGAGGCTGGAATTATCATACAAGACAACGAAGATTAAGTGACATCTTATAAATCTTATAGTTTACGTTACTGGTTCTTACAGTGAAACTGTTGTACGTTACTGGTTCTTACAGTGAAACTGTTGTACGTTACTGGTTCTTACAGTGAAACTGTTGTACTTTACTGGTTCTTACAGTGAAACTGTTGTACTTACTGTTCTTACAGTGAAACTGTTGTACGTTACTGGTTCTTACAGTGAAACGTTGTAGTTACTGGTTCTTACAGTGAAACTGTTGTACGTTACTGGTTCTTACAGTGAAACTGTTGTACGTTACTGGTTCTTACAGTGAAACTGTTGTACGTTACTGGTTCTTACAGTGAAACTGTTAACGTTACGGTTCTTACAGTGAACTGTTGTACGTTACTGGTTCTTACAGTGAAACTGTTGTACGTTACTGGTTCTTACAGTGAAACTGTTGTACGTTACTGGTTCTTACAGTGAAACTGTTGTACGTTACTGGTTCTTACAGTGAAACTGTTGTACGTTACTAGTTGTTTTATGAAGCTGCTCTAATAATATAAATTTAATAATGATGATGATTACTATTACCACTACTACTAATAATAACAGTAATAATAGTTATTATAATAGTAATGAAAATTTTAATAATTTTAATAATAATAATAATAATAATAATAATAATTTACCGCCATCAATGAAGGAACGTAACATAAGACGTTGCCTTATTTTACGAAATTAAATTTACACAATTTCTTTTACTCAGGTCGAATTACAAACCAAAAACCATTAATTATCCAACCTCAGGGCAAACGATATGTATATTTTTTTCATATTTTTCTCAGTATATACATGCTAAGAGTTTATTTTACTCATTTTTTAAAATAAAGATTAAAGTATTCTTGCGTGTTGGTGACAAGGTTACGATCCTAGATGAGTCGATAGGCTTCAAACTCCATTGACCCAACCTAAGCCTGTTTCTCTGTAGAGATCTTTCTGGTTGCCAGCCACGATAGTGTACTTATTGTGACTACTACTGAGTCCAGGGATGTGTGTATCGCAGACACGTTTTTGTTTTAACAGTGAGATGGATGAAGAGGCGTCGGGTCCACAATTGTTTCTCTTAGGGTTAATGAAGCTCATCCTCTGAGCGAAACGTTCTACTGCAGTGGTTCCCAAACTTTTTCAGCTTGTTACCCAATTTAACATGCCACATAAAGCATGTTACCCCTTTCACAAAATGCTGTTATTATTGATATATATGGCTAAACGTGAACGTATACAGCCTCGCATACTCTGCTAATCCTAGCAAAACCATTGAAAACGTAAGAACCACACATACATTATATATAAAATTAATAATAGCTACAAATTCACAGTAACAGTGGGTAAATACTAACTATATACTGCACAGGGCAGTACACATACATACCAGCTTATGTCTACCTCGGCTGATGCTCACAGATAAACTGACAGTGTGAAATAGAGGCAGCCTCAGGAAGTGAGTGACGCGTACTGGACAGGTCGATCTGGGCTACTGAGTGACTTTTGTCCTGAAGCATACTTGTCAAAATACTTTTGGGTTTCCACACACTTAGCTATATATTTCTTCTTTTCTAATACTGTATATTAGTTTTTGATGTTTATTGTTATTTGGTTTAACTTTATTACTTACTTTACAACTTTATATACTAAGACAAAGTTAACAATAATCCTCATACCGGGTACCGCATTGTTTTCTTGATTTTCAGAATTCATAACTTTTTTTCTGTCACCCCTCCATTACCCCCCAAAAATGGTTAAATTACCCCCAGGGGGTAATTTACCCCCAGTTTGGGAACCACTGTTCTACTGTATACTGAGGGCTTTTATATCCACTGATGCTCACTATGTATCTCATTTCCACACGAAACTCCATCAAGGTTGACGGGAATCTCTTCCCCATAATTCTCTCAAGTTTTTCCACACGATTGCTCACCAAAGAAATTGCTAGTTTTTTCTCGTATTCTGGGAAATAATATATCCCGGGTGCAGTGGCTAATAACAGGCGCAACCCTCCTGGGGCTCCACGGTATTTACTAAAAATTATAGGAAGGAGTGCACAAAGCCCGAGGTAATGAAATGTAAATGGGAATTATTATTAACCCCCCCCCAAAAAAAAAAAAGCAGAAGCAGTGATAAAGTTACAAGGGATAATGGGAAACTAAAGTGTTCTTATTTCATTAACTCCTCTTCTTCTTCTTCTTCTCGGTATAGTAATGAACATTCTTTAAGAATTAATAAATAAAGAATGCAAGTCACACAATACAGTTGCTGGAACAACAGACAAATAACCCGCACACTGAGAACAATCATGATGTTTCGGTCCTACTTGGACCATTAGCGAGTGACTTGTCGATAGTCCGAATCGGACCGAAACGTCATTACTTTCCCCTTACCTAAGGACCCCAAAGTACCCCAATGGAAATAAGTCACTCTGGCTTTTTTGGGTTATCCTAGGTTCTCTACACATATGCTGCTATGTATGATAATCTATGTGACTGTATTTGTGTATACCTGAATAAACTTACTTACCTAAGCGCGACTTATTTGTCGAGTATTAATGAGTGTTTTCAGATCTAGTAGATGAAAGCAACTTGGTGGTGATCCCGGCGCGTGTTGACCGCCGCCGCTCCCACCGAGTATTGTTGACCACTTCCAGTATCATTAGTTTTCTCAAAATATGTTAAATACAGCGATGATACAGTGTGCATACAAACTGTTGACCACCATCACCTGGTGTACACAAATAGTGTGGGACCACCCCTAGTGGGTGAATAAATCATTTATATTATTAATATACGTATATATATATATATAGGTAGTAGGTTGGTAGACAGCAACCATCCAGGGAGGTACTACCGTCCTGCCAAGTGAGTGTAAAACGAAAGCCTGTAATTGTTTTACATGATGGTAGGATTGCTGATGTCTTTTGTCTGTCTCATAAATATGCAAGATTACAGGCATGTCTTGCTACTTCTACTTACACTTAGGTCACACTACACATACATGTACACATTTATTTATACACACTCATCTGAGTTTTCTTTGATTTTA